CCCCCCCCCCTTCCCCCCCCCCCCACACACACACGGGCACCCCTGGTCAGGGTACCACCACACATGTTTTGGTAAAGTGCAGAAATGGTCTGTTTTGAACTCAGTGAGAAGGAAGATCAGACAATTGCAATAAAAGGCAGTTGACATCGTCCTCTTCCTTAGCACCCAGCCAATCAGGGTCATCTTTGCTAAGGGAATACTAGGGAAACTGGGGAATCGCCACTGGGAGGCATGCTGGTCTGGATATTTGCTACTACCCTCTGGTGGTTGTTTGACAGCACTGCAATGCCTAAAAGATGTTCTCCTTAAAACTCTTAGCAGCATATGTGCAGACACCTCTAAACCGGGTTAATTGTGAGCTGGTTCCCAATCAGTGACATTCTTGGAATAGTTCAGATGTTATGTTTATCCACACCCTGGGTGTGCATATTTCTTTGAAGTCCACTTCACATCAAGAGGAGACTACCTGAATAGCTTGGAGAGGAACAATATATTATTAACAGGCATTTTAATAAATAGCTAATCAATTGTTATAGAGCCCAGCAAGCCAATGAGCCCATCATTGCTTATAGCGATGTCTTATAACAGCTTGTTAATGCACCCATATTATAACATACTAGTAACATTTATTAATGATTTATTAATCCTTTAATGACTGTCTAGGAACACAATCAGCGTGAAGTGTGATCATTCTACGCAGCTGTGCTAGACAATTGGGAAGCTTATGGTTGGCCCAAAAAAGGCACTTTTCCCTTTGAGGAAGCCGATTCTCTGACAGCTTAAAATCATCTGGATACCCTGGTTGCCCTGTACTCACAAGGAATCTCATGACTTTGGGGAGACTCCACCTTCAGTTCAGAGGCCTGCATTAGATCTTTTTTTTGTAGATTTGTACCTCTGGCATTTTTTGTGTTATTTTAGCCAATTAAACCTCTAGTCAGACTTGAAGTATACAGTTTGCTCAAGTATTCATTATTCCTTCCCATAGAAATTATGGTTACCATCTATTTTAAAGACTTGTACAATGCTGCCTCACGAAAAGAAAAAACATCCTCAACTGCATCTATTTTAAGTGAAAAACTCTGAATTGTACTCAAGTCAGTTTGAGTTGCATGCACAGAAATTGGCTTCAAGTGAGAGGCATTTTCAATCATTAGGTTGATAGTAAGCAGTGGACCAAATCCTGTGTTAATTACACAAGTGTAAGTAGTCCATGGAGTAATCCCAATACTCTCTTGGCAGAACTGAGGTAGAAAATGACTCTGTAAAACCATCATTTTTAGCCCTTTGTCAGTCAAGATTCCCACTGAAACTAGGTGAGAGTTTTGGTTATGTTAGACTCTTGTCTTCAAGTCTTTTATTACAAATTTAGAGAGTCTAGATATGAACTAGAATAAATATAGGTCTGTATTAAGGATTTATGTAAGTGTTATCGTATTGCTGGTTGCAGACGAGTGTTTGAATCATTGGTGGAATGTTTTACTTCTAAGGATGAAAACTAGAAAGAAAGCAAGTCTGAATATGTAACAGACAGCTAGAATAGATTATAGTCACATAACACAGTTGCTGTGCCTGCCTGTGGCCTGCTATGGATTTTTCATATTTTGCTTCATTTCTGTTCTAATAGAGGAACAGTTAAATATGCCATCTCATATTGTGTAACGTTGCTTAGTAATATCTAATATCACCATCAGCAACTAAAAGGGAGATTTATATTTATACAAGCTATAAATAGATAGCTTAGTAAATCAATCAGTGAGCAACTTGCTGTTGCTGGCAATACACTATTTTAATGGCATTCATGTGCTTGGAAAGAATTAGGAGCCAAAATTGCTTTGTTTTGTGAATAAGGAAGTATTAAGATGTAACATGCTGTTCAGATGCTGGTTGTCTGTTCTGTGGCATCTTTGGGAAGAAGTCAAGTTGTCTGCATTTGCTATAGCTGCGTGGAAAGGAAAAAAAGCTTTCTCAGAGGGCAACATTGTTCTGCTTATCCCCTTTGGATGTATTTTCAGAGCTGAATGCTTGTATATTTTGTTGTCTTTCAGCAATGGGTAGAAGGGCTTGGATCCATCATACATAACTTCAGGGCTAACAATGTCAGTCCGATGACATGTCTGAAGAAACAGTAAGTTCTCCCTTCTACCCTTTGTTCATATTTTCCTACAAGTGCTTTCTTAGATTATCAATTTTGTTCTTGGTTCAGAAATGAAGTCACTGAAACAGCCCACTTGAAACATTTCCTGAGACTTCAAATCCCCCCAGAGATTATGTTGTTAACCTAGTTGAGAGTTCATATTTCACTGTAACCATAAGAATTCCCCTGTTTATTGCCTGGCATCTGCCCAAAAGACATTGGAAGAGAGTTACAAGTGTTCATTTAATTTATCAGGATTGTGATTTTAATTATCATCTTGTCTCTTCTTTCCTTGATACACGTAGATAACCCCCATAGGGGCTCCTGCATTTGAAAGTTGAATAGATATACCAAGGAGGAGAGTATCTGCCCAATGATATGCTGATTATTTTGGTCTGAATAGTGCTTTTACAGCACAGCTCTATGTTATGGAGCCACTTGCTTTATGGAAGCACTGAAGATTAGAGGTGTACCAATACATCAGTCCAATATCAGATCGGTACCAATATAAAGAAAATTGGCTGTATCAGAAATCAGCCCAATGTGGCTGATAATTTGGCCAGTAAATGCTTGTGTGTGCATGCAAGCACAGCTTAGCACACAGGCAGTTAGGAGCCCAGCTCAGCAGCATGGAGAGCTGCGTGCAGCTGGTAAGTCTGTTGTGGTGGAAGGGGCATGGGGGGACAGATCAATGCCCCCCTCAGTGAGGGTGGGCAGAGCGGGGTGGGGCACGGAACAGAGCCGTGGCT